ATTTACACAGTTTTAAGGSACCAGGATTTGGGACTTTTATATTTAGCCATCTAGTACAGTATAACTGTTAGTGTTAGTCATAATTACCTGATCTGATCATCAGATCCAAGGCTTTGGTGGGATCCTGACTGTGATTTCACCTTCTTYTGCCCAGGACTGCTGACTCACCACCTGACCTTACACATGATCACCACCCAAAGGATGAACAGCTTCCTGCCTCAACCCAATTCACACCCTTTGATTCCTGGACCTCAGAGCAGTGCAGCTGTCTTGACAGTGATGATGTGCAATAGGCAGGGGAGCTATGAGAGAATGAAGGGCACCCACATTCATTTCTCAGGCTGTAGCCACAAGGTAGGGCTGCCAGCTCTTTGCTTGGAAAAGCAAAATATTGAGTCCTGTATGGGCTCSTCTTTGCCTGTTCCTCTTTCATTCATCACCCTCTTTGCTCTTCCCTACCCTTTGGGTGCTTGACACAACATTCTGTATAACCAACCTCTTCTGCCTTTTCCTCTCCTCTTACCACAGGTCAATCACTCACAGGCAGTTTATTTTGCTTCAGGCCATCTCCCACATCTTCCCACAAAAACCAATCTATCCTAGAAACCATTCATTTGCTTTCTAGCTAGCTGGGAACAAACTTGGCTTTATTCACAAGTCAAAAGAATATCAGCATCATTCAAATAACAACTATTTAAATGAAGGCATTCTAGAAATGATGCACTGAGTTACTGATTCCTTCAAAGGAGCAGCAGCCTCTGGTGTGCTTCCTGGGATGGGGAGCTATGATGAGGGAATGCAGGGCAGATAGACTACTTCATATGGGATGTTCAATTTCAATGTGTCTGCATTAATCAATCTTCTAGGCACCAGATGGTAAAATCATAGAAGTCAAAAAAATCCTTTTAAAATACATACAATTATGTTAAAAATTCTGAATTATATTATTATCTAGCCCAAAGGCAGTTCTCCCCTTGAGGCACACATCTGCATGCTTGGAGGAAACCAGACTCCTGGGGATCTGAGACTAAGGGAAATGAGAATAACACTGGAAAGATTATGTCAGTGTCCTTACTTTGGACTCTCTGATCTGTGCCCTTTTTTCCACTCTTCGTTGGAGAGCTGGACCCTGATGGGAGATACCGCAATGATGGCCTTACGCTAAGAAGGGCTTTAGCCTAAGTAACTCCATCTTAAAATAAAATTGYAATCCCCACCAGGCAAGCCTATGGAGCCCTCCAATATTGTCATCAGGCATAACCTGATAAAATAAGTCACTTTCCACAACCCAGATAAAACTCAGAGTGAAGAAACTGTCATTTGCCTTTGCCCTGATAAAGTCAGAGGTGAGAGATCAGGGCGGAAACCACCAGACAAGATRTCCTGACCCTAGAATGAAAGACATCACTGAGAAATCTGGTAATGGCTGGTAGGGATTGAAAGGGTGAGCAGAAGCCCCAAAATTTAACATAAATGATGGAGCAAATGAATATCCAGCCAGCCAACACTGAAGCCCACATGCCAGAGAGCCTGATGAGGACCTGGACTGACACCCCACCTCTTATCATCTGTCTGATCCTCTGCATCATTCTCATCGCTCTCAAACTCTACAGCCACATCTTGACCCTGGTGAGAACTGCAACTTCCCCTTAGGACCCTCTCCTCAACATTATTAAGCTCTACCAGAGGAGAAGCCTCCATAGGTTCCTGATTTGATCACTGTGGTCTGAGTGAGTGTGCATCTGCTGGACTTAAGGCCTAAGACTTTAGACTCTAGATTTAGCACTTGAGCTTAGCGTGCAGAGGGAATGTATGTAATGAGTCTGTCATGATTAAGTGTGTTAACAGTACTTAGAATTGTTTACTTTGAATTCATTATGTCTATTGCAGTGCCCGACATTAAGGATTGTCATTTTCTCGATTAAGAACCTATAGAGTGGAATTGTATTGAGTGATTTGAGTGAATAAAGCATTGAAAAAGGCAGAAGCACGTGGACATTCTTTATTTCTCCCCCTTGACTGCATAAGTCACAACTTTGTCCATCACCACAGATACTCAGTTCCTTCTTGCTTTCAAACATGTTTATCCTTTTCTACCTCATTTCTTATTCTTATAGTGGATTAAGTGAAGAAAGAGTTTTGAATGAATAGGAGTAAGTAGAATGTGGACATTGAAGGTTAAATGTGTTTGGCTATACAACCAGTTGCAAAAAAAGTACATTTCATTACATTGTACAATGCAAATTACAGCCAATTTTCTACTTGCATTTTACATTTTTAATTGCAAAGGATTTTTGAAATCAAACCAAAAAGGTACTATCACTTAAGGGAACACAKAAATCTTCAAAATTTTTTTTTTATTTAAAGTAATTTTACATATCACAACGTTCACTTGTTTCCGTTTTTGGTAAATTTACAGAGTTGCACAACCATTACCACAACCCATTTATTTATTTAAGTACTGGGGATTGAATCCAGGAATAKTCTATTACTGAGCTTCATCCATAGCCCTTTATATTATTTTGAGATAGGGTCTTGCTAAGTTGCCCAGGCTGGCCTTAAATTTTCTACAATCCAATTTTAGAACATGTCTATCACTGCAAAACTRTCTCTTGTACTCTTTGCAGTCATTCCTTATTTCTGCCCTCAGCCCTAGGTGACCACCAATCAACTCTCAGTATGGATTTACTTTTTCTAGACATCTCAAATAAACAGAATCATGTTATATGTGTTCTTGCAAAATGGCTTCTTCCACTTAGTTAATCTTGAGTTTCCTCTATGTTGTATCTTTTATAGGTACTCTGTTTCTTTTATCAAATAAGGATACAGCACATGTAGTTTATCTATTCAGGAGTTTTTGGACATTTGGATTGTTTTCACTTTTTGATKATTACAAACAATGTTGTTATAAATATTTAAGCATACATCATTTAAACATATTTTCARTTCTCTTGAGTATGTATCTAGGAGTGAAGTTGTTGGGTCATATGTTAGTTTTATATGTAACTTTTTAAGAACCTGAAAAACTTTATTCCAAAGTGGTGCATTGTTTTATATTATCTTAAGTAATGGTTGTGAAGGTCCTGATTTCTCTACTTCCTGGCAAATTTTTTTTTTTGCTTATTAATTTTAGCTATTTTGATAGGGGTGAAGAGCTTTCCCGTTGAGAAATTTCCCAYTGAGAAATTCCGTTYTAATTTGCATTTCCCTAAGTGGYTAATAATGTTGAATACTAATAGTTGATCATTTAAATCTTTGGTAAAATGTGGGTTCTTTCGACCACTTTTAATTGGATTATTAGCCTTATTAAGTTGTTGTAATATTTCTTTGTATATTTTTTGCATACAAATCCTTTATCAGATGTGATTTGTGAATATTTGCTCACAAAATATGGACACAGTATTTTAAAAAGACTACATCTTTATTTCAAAGTGATGTTTCCTCTTGTGGAACATTAAAGGGCTAATCACTGACTTTCTTCCAAAATATTATATAAGTATTTTAAAAATAGTCTGTTTTAAAYTTTTATTTTTGAATACAGTACTTGGAAGATGTGGATAATTGCAAATGCAGGATAGTAAACTTTTTTTTGGTAAATTGTTTTTTTTTGCTTGCAACCTTTTGGTTATGTCAAAACACACATACACACACACACACACACACCCCTGAATATTTTTTTGTGGTACTGGGACTCAAACCCAAGGCCTTGCACATGGTAGGCACGTGCTCTACTACTGGGCTACGCCCCCAGCCTATATAACAATATGTACTTAAAAGTTTAAGATGGGGCTATTTCAATGGTACAGTCTCTTTATCATTCCGGCTCTTGATTGGCAAGCAGTAAGACACAAACCTCTGGATGACTACTTGGTAAAAAGACGGTTGGTTATCCTAGTGTGACAGAGGATCAGGGTTGGGTCTACCGTCTTCAGGGTAGGGAGCGGCTGGGTATTGAGAAGGAGTACTAAGCAGTGCTTCCCAAGGGGGCGTAGTGGAAAGACACTTGTAGGATACTGCGCAGGAGCCAGACCCCTAAACGGTCCCAATCGTGCACCCCTCAMCCCCCAGGCATTCTTTTGGTCCCTCGGGGCCGGGCTGCCTCTTCCGGCYGTGCGGGTCGGTGGCCTCTCCTCTCACTGCCCGCTCCGTTCCTGGACCACGGCAGCCCAGTCGCCCGGTTCCGCCGGTTCCGCCGAGGCACCACCGACAGTTCTCCAGCTTCAGACCTCCCCGGACACTACAGGTGGCTCCGCCCGAGTCAGGGGTGGCCTGCGGCAAGGCCCGGGGTCGATCCGAGGGCCTCCTCCGCGCGGTGAGGGCTCCTCCATTTTCTCCCGCCCGTGACGGGCTCGACGTGAAGCGGCCTGGGTTTATTTTACTCGCTGCCGCAGCCTCTTTGTCCCTACACAGGATCGGGGGGCAGAATCCCTCGGCCCAGACAGCACCACTGAACCCATCGCAGGGGGAGCTTCCCTCCCGGTGACCCGGACGCCGGCGCCGCGGTCCGGCACCTCCCGGCGGGTCGGGCCAGAAAAGGCGGCCAAGTGGAGAGGCCGGAACCTCCCGGCCCCGGAGAGAAGCGCGGCCGCCGCGAGGTGGGCTCGCTGCACAGGAGGGGGCCGGCGCATCCGGGTGAGCGCGCGGCGCCCCCGCCTCCCCCGCGCAGCCGCACGGGCCGCCGCCGCCGCCGCGGAGCACGCCGCGCGCTGTGGAGACCGCGCCCGAGCGGCCTGCGGGCGGCCCTGCGGCCCCGGCCGGCGGCGCTGAGGGGGCCCAGAGCGAGCGGCAGCGACCGCGGCATGCAGGGCGGCCCCGACTAGCCCGACGAGCCCAGGAGGCCCGCCGCGGAGGCGGGGGCGGGCGCGGCGGAGGCGGGGCTCGCGCCAGGCCCGCCCGCCCGCCGGGGGAGCCGGCGGCAGTGGCCGAGGAGGCGGCGCGGCGGACGGCGGCCCCAGAGTAGCGCCCGCGCTGCGGCCCGCGGGACCGCGCCGCGACCGCCCTGGCCGGCCCGGAGGAGCGCCYGCCGCCGCCGCGCGCAGAGCGAGGTGAGTGTCCGCTCGCGCCGGGGCAGCCCTGGAGCCGCAGCCGCTAGCGCGGGGCCAGAGGAGGAGGAGAAGGAGGCCCGTCCGCGTCCCCCTGTCCCTTTGTGGCCGGTGCTACTGAGGGCCGGGGCGCGGGTGCGCTCGCTGCGGGGTCCTGGTCGGGGACTCCAGGGCCGGGGGACACGCGGCGTCTCTGGTTGGCAGCTGCGGCGAGCAGCGAGTTTCCGTCCTAGTTTGACATTGAGTTAGAACCGTTTTTCTTTAGRAGACGGAAGTTTGTTTTATTGACAAGAATATAGCTAAATATGGCTTCTGGGTTCGGTCGTGGGGTATTTGGAGCCGTGGTACCAGCCTGACCCTCGCCGGGGCCGGCGCGACGGGGGAGGGGAAGACGCGCCGGTAACTGGAGGCGGGGGCTTCCCGGCCGGCTGTGGGCCGAGAGGACCTGGCTCCGAATGAGCAAATGTTTGTGCTTGGGAAGTAGCGGGCTTTAGGTAATGTGGGAGCCCTTCCTGGAAGAATGAATGAATGAAATGTCATTTACTCACCCATAATCAATACAATGCCTGTTTAAAGATTTGCCAGGAATTGTGATGATTTGCATTGTCATTGCCAATCTTACATCAATCTTACTAAGCGACCCCTACCACCCATTTTATGACCTTGGCCTCTTTCTCAAAGCCGCGATGTTAGTCCATCAACCAAACTCGCTTGGCATTTTCTGGCAAGTGTGGGTAAAGTGGTCTTTTTGTGATGGTGAACTGTTTATGGAGGGCAGAAAATGTTCACCTTTATCATACCTTATGTTTAATACATTACTTTGTGATAATTCTTGTCAGGAACCTTGAGACTTAGGAGATCTTGACCTCATTTCACAGATGAAAAAGTTGAGGCCTCAAGAAGTTAAACTTTYCAGGTCACAGGCTAATCGGCAGAGTTGGGATTGAAACTCAGACTTTTATTAGTTCAGTGCTCTTTGTGTCACATTCGTCACATAGACCTAGACTTTCCATTATGATAGTCTTAATTAAAATAACTACATGTGACTTGTGGTTATTTAAGTTAAAATTAAAGAAAAATTTAGCTCCTTAGTCATTAGCCATATTTCAAGTGTTTAATAGCCAAATGGGTAAGTGGCTAAGTTGAACAGCAGTYTAGATCATACATCCATTTATGTATTCAGTAAATATTTGAGTGCCAGCTGCTTAGTTTTAAATCTTGAATATACTGGGCACAGTTTTAAGTCCTGGGAATACTGTGGCAAATGAGAGACAATGTTTTTGCGTTTTTGGAGTTTGTGTTTTGCATGATAGTTTGAGGATGTTAAAACCGTGGTACTTCAGAGCCTTTTTATTGCATGTGTGGTTCATGGACCAGCAACATTACAGTCAYATGAGAGTCTAGAAGAAATGCAGAATCTCAGGCCCCAGATTCCATCAACTGAATTAATTTCTGCTTTAATAAGATTCTAGGTTATTTGTGTGTACTTTSAATCTTAAGAAGCCTTATTTAGAATACTAGGGATTACTGGATTTAATGAATGGCTGTAAAAAATTTGGGGAGTACTCACCATTTATGCAAATACTTGTTAAATGCTTGATTTTTCTCAGTGTTGTTTAAATTTTTTCCCCTCCCTTATCTAGCCCTGTATCTTTACAGACTTTATAGTGTCTGATAAATAGTAGGCACTCAGTAAATGTTTGCTGAGTAAGTGTACAAGCTACTAGGATAGTTAAAACTGGTTGTTAGTCCCAAGTACTCACATTGCATCAGGTGAGCTCAGGGGACCTCAGTTGAAATGAGCTGGATTTTGCTCCTGGTATATAATCTAGCTCTCTCTTTAATAACATAATATTAATAAATTCAAATTTTAATCATATATTAATGTCTTATRTAGGATTTAAAAAAAACTGAATTCTGGACTTTATTTGGATTTCACCAATTTTTCTACTAATATCTTCCTTTTGTTCCATGGTGCAGTCCAGGGTACTACATTGTATTTAAGTGTCATGCCTCTTTGGTCTGTAGCGTTTCTTTTTTCYTTTTTTAAGCTTTCCTTGTTTTTCATAACTTTGGTGGCCTGGAGGAGTACTGTTCTGGTTTTCTATTTCATTTTATGAGACAGGATCTTGTTGTGTTATAAAAGCTAGTCTCAATTTTTGTGCATAAGTGATCCTCCTGTGTATCCCTGTCCTCTGGGACTGCAGGCATTCTCCACCACATCAGTGTCTTTTCTTTGGCTTCCTGAGACCAAGTAGAATCATCCAGTCTGAGAGGTTTTCATACTTYGGCAAGTATAGCCACAACAGGGACAATCCTTTTTCAGCTCTTAATTTGTTTGTGTAGTGCATATTCTTATTTTCAAGTAACAACATAACAACATTTGTACTTTGTTTTCAGTAACAAATTTCTTGGATACAGTTCCTCATAGATTGAGACTGGGAAATGTTGCAATGTTGCAGTTGTGTACCACTGTTTTAATATATATTGAGTTTTATTTTTATGATGAGTTAAGATAAGGACAGGTGAAAGAGCGGGGAGAGGGGAAATATCAGGTGAAAGAGGCAATAGGTCAATGAAGGACAAATGCAAAAGAATGAAAGAAAATAGAGGAAGAAGTAAGGTAAGTAAGGTAGCTACATAGATAAAAGAACCAGAAGCAAATAATTACTGTTTGTTCATTTATTCAGTTACTATTTATTGAGTGATTAATGTATGCCTGACCTATGCTAGAGGCTCAAGATAACTGGGGGGCAAGCCAGCAKCTTTAAACAAGTAAACATGCAGATGAATTCATTATCTAATAATTACAGCCTGTGATGAGTGCTATAAAGTAAAGGATTTTAGAGGGGCTGGATGGTGTGAAAGAGAGGGTAAGGGAGCTACTGCTTTGTTGACTGGGTTCATGAGGAAGGCTTCTCTGAGTGACATTTGAACTCCTGTCTCTGGTTTTTAGGGGCCCTCCCTAATTAACTCCAAACTGCTAATCCTTCTGTTTATTTCACAACACACACATCACTTTCTCCATAGGCACTGTATTTATTTCTAGCTCTGTGACTTCAATGATTTCTTCTCTTTCCAAGATGTTCCCCTTTCCACCTCCACTTGCAGAAGTGCTGCCTCTTGTGCAAATGTTTGATCACATCCTATCTCCTTTATGAAGACTGTCACTGTTGATTTATGCCTGTGTTTGTCACTCTGTTTGAGTGTGTGATGTTCAGTGGTAGGGATAATACTTTGCATTTATATCTGTGTGTCTTCACTTAGTCCAGCACAAAGTAGAACTAATAAGGGGTTGAAATGGAGATCTGAAGTGTTCACATTTGGGTGATGATCCTTAGAACAGTAAGTGAAAGTCTAGTTTTGTTTTAATAAAACATTTTGTTATGAGATAATTATAGATCCACATGCAGTTATGAGGAATAATCAGAAAGATTCTATGTACCATTTACCTAGTTATTTCCCGTGGTATCATCTTGTAAAACTATAGCACCCATGATTATCAGACTGATAATAGTGTCAGTAATACAGTCAAGATACAAAATATTTCCATCTTCACAAGATTTCCTTTTCTTGCTTTTTAAAATGGCTATGCCTCTCTCCCTTACCTCTACCCCACTCTTAAGTCCTAGAATCAGTAATCTGTCCTCCATTTTTGCAATTTTGTCATTTCAATAATATTTTATGAATGGAATCATATAGTACAGAGATTAACCCAGGTTGTTACATATGCTGATATTTGCTTCTTTTTTATTGCTTAGTAGTATTTCATAGTGTGGACGTACTTTTATGGTTGTTTTAACCATCTACCTTTTGGACATCAGTTTGTTTCCAGTTTTTGGCTATCACAAGTAAAGCTGCTGTAAGATTTTTGTAKAAACATAAGTCTTCTGGGACAAAGTGATAGAGTGCAGTTATTGGGTTGTGTGATAACTGAATGTTTATCTTTTTGTAGAACCTATCAAATTGTTTTCAAGTGACTGAAACATTTTATATTCCTGTTAGTCATGTATGAATGATCAGTTTCTCTGTATCCTTTCCACATTTGGTGTTGTCACTATTTTTTAATTTTAGCTGTTCTGTTAGGTACAGAGTAATAATCTCTCTGTGATTTTAAGGTGCTTTTTCTAAATGCTAATGATGTTGAGTTAGTTTGTTTTTAGTAACATTGGATATTGAATCCAGGGCCCAGCACATGCTAGGCACACTCTTCCACTGAATACACATCCAGCCCTTGATAGTCTTTTCATATGCTTATTTGCCATTTTATTTTATTTTTTTCTATGTGCTTATTTGTCATACTTCAGGGAAATGACTTTTGCTCATTTTTTAATTGGAATACACACACACACACACACACACACACACATATATATATATATATATATATATACACACTATTGAGTTGTAAGAGTTCTTTATGTATTCTAGAAACTAGTCCTTTGTTAGAAATGTAATTTGTCTATAGATGTCTTTTTATTCCCTTAAGAAGGTATCTGCAGAGATCAAGTACAGTTTCTCAATTTATTCTTTTGTGGATCATGCCTTTGGTGTCAAATCCAGGAATCCTTTCCCTAGACCTGAAGATTTTTCTCCTGTGCTTTTTTTTTTTTTTCCTAAAAGTTATTCCTTATAGTTTTATATGATCTATTTTGAGTTAATTTTTGTGTAAGGTATGAGACTTAAGTCAAAGTTTATTTCTTAATTGCCTATAGATGTTGAATTGCCTCAGTACTATTTCTTAAAAATGCTGTCTTTTCTTCCATTGCTTTTGTATGTTCGCCAAAAAATAATTGGGCATATTTGTATAAGTCTACTTCTGGATTCTCTTTTCTGTTTCATTATTCTGTGTATGTCTGCCAGTACCACACAGTTTTGGTTAACTATAGTTATATGAAAAATTTTTAAATGGAGTAGACTGATTCCTCCCACTTTATTCCCTTTTCAAAGTTTATTTAGTTATTTATGTTCCTTTTTCATTAAATTGTAAAATAATCTGTATC